AAGGAGTGTAAAACATAGCACTAAGGGGACAGCATGAATCAGAACGCAAATGTGAAGTAAACATGCTCAGGCCGGTTAGCATCTGGATGATTCCAATTTCCTTTGACTTTAAAAAGCAAAGAAGTAAATGGTGGGGAATGAGATCAAGCAGCAAACACACAGGCAAGATCACAGGAAACCTTCCCATACAAAATAATCTCTGTAAGGTAGCAAAATATCTACTTAAAGATGAAACCAAATTGTCAACTACTAGAGCATGCACTCTATCTATGCCTAGGGAAATAGAGTGAGTATCACTGCCTTACTTGGCATACCATAGTTGTATGGAAGTGAATAGATATCATTAAATATGTTACAAGAGAGATATCATTCCCTTAACTGAAACCAATTGAAGATTTTATCGTCTTCACCTTTATTCGAGAGGAATTCATCGATGCCTATGCTAGCTTAACAATAGCAATGATTGCTGTGTCCAGACTTCGTGCTCTCTTTTCTTTGTTTTATAATCGGAGACTAACCCATGCAATGGAACTGAATTTGCTACAAGCTGATCCCACTTGGAGAAATGATAACAAACTAAAGATTTTACATTTTAAGAAAGGGATCTGTTCAAATCCATCCTAATCTAGCTTTCTAAAGACTTGTCACTCTCCAGAGAAACACATTCTTTCCTGGTTGTATATAGTAAAGACATCTATTCAGTACACCTTTTCCATTTTTGAGGCTTTGAGGGAAGAAAAAAAATGCTACTTCATGTTGCCAAAGGGCACTTCTGCCAAAAGTAGAGACATTTTTTTTCAGTTGTTAACAGTTGCTCTCAACAACAATTTTTTTTAGCCTTTTTATTGTCCAATCCCTGGCCAGAATTGCAACAATCCTTTGAACAATCAGTTCATTTCAGTTCAGTCCAGTCGCTCAGTTGTGTCTGACTCTTTGCAGCCCCATGGACTGCAGCACGCCAGGCCTCCCTGTCCATCATCAACTACCAGAGTTTATTCAAATTCATGACTATTGAGTCGGTGATGCCATCCAACCATCTCATCCTCTGTCATCCCCTTCTCCTCTTGCCTTCAATCTTTCCAAGCATCAGGGTCTTTTCCAATGAGTCAGTTCTTCACATCAGGTGGCCAAAGTACTGAAGTTCCAGCTTCAACATCAGTCCTTCCAATGAATATTCAGGACTGATTTCCTTTTAGGATGGACTGGTTGGATCTCTTTGCTGTCCAAGGGACTCTCAAGAGTGCTCTCCAACACTATAGTTCAAAAGCATCAATTTTTCAGTGCTCAGCTTTCTTTGTAGTCCAACTCTCACATCCGTATATGACTACTGGAAAAACCATAACTTTGACTAGACAGACCTTTGTTGGCAAAGTAATGTCTCTGCTTTTTAATAACCTATCTAGGTTGGTCATAACTCTTCTTCCAAGGAGCCAGTCTCTTTTAATTTCATGGCTGCAGTCACCATCTGCAATAATTTTGGAGCCCCCCCCAAAATAAGGTCTGTCTTGTTTCTATTGCTTCCCCAACTATTTGCAGTGAAGTGATGTGACCAGATGCCATTATCTTAGTTTTCTGAATGTTGAGTTTTAAGCCAACTTTTTCACTCTCGTCATTCACTTTCATCAAGAGGCTCTTTAGTTCTTCTTCACTTTCTGCCATAAAGGTGGTGTCATCTGCATATCTGAGTTTAATGATGTTTCTCCCAGCAATCTTGATTCCAGTTTGTGCTTCAACCAGCCCAGAATTTCTCATGATGTACAATGCATATAAGTTAAATAAATAAGCAGGGTGACAATATAGAGCTTTGACGTTCTCCTTTCCCAATTTGGAACCAGTCTGTTGTTCCATGTCCAGTTCTAACTGTTGCTTCCTGACCTGCAGACAGATTTCTCAGGAGGCAGGTCAGGTAGTCTGGTATTCCCATCTCTTTAAGAATTTTCCACAATTTGTTATGATCTACACAGTCAAAGGCTTTGGCATATTTAATAAAGCATAAGTAGATGTTTTTCTGGAACTCTCTGGCTTTTTTGATGATCCAATGGATATTGGCAATTTCCTCACTGGAGTACATCATTAAATATCTTAGTTTCCTGCTCTCTGGGACTTTCAACTTATTGAGAAAACCATTATGCAAATGTGTATGTAATTCAAAGTTAATATGATAGTATAGGAACAGAGTAGCATAGTTTAGATTTGGGATCATGAAAGTGTTTGGGAAAGAGACAATGAAACTGGAGACCTTAGGGGTGAGTAGGCGTTTCTCAGACAAGGACTGGGAATGAGAGAAGCATCTCTGGGGGTGAAGAAGACCATTTAAATGTCTTATGTAAGTTTTATTAGCCTTTTTAAAGTGCTCACAGTATTTTATTGAAATATTGAAATTTATTTTATTAAAATAAGATATACCAATTTTTAAGGGTGTGGCTTGAAATTTCACCATATGTTTACACTCATTATCACCACTCAGATTAAGATAGAGAACAATTTTATCACCCTCCAAATTTTATTTCCCCTATTCTGGACATTCCCCCCCGCCGCAGAGGTAACCACTATTCTGGCTTCTGTCACTTAGATGCATGTAAAGAACTGAAAAAAGTTCAATGAAATGGTTGTAGAGACCAAGAGGATAATAGAGAGGAGATGAGAATGCAGAGGTAGGTAGGTGGTGGGCCACAGAGAATCTTGAGGAACTGGTTCAAGATTTGAACTTTTGGCTGGAATGAAATGAATAGCTGTTGAAAACCTGCCCAGAGAAATAAAATGATTAGATTCACATTTAACAGTTGTTCTAATCAGAGGGCATGAAGAGCAGAAATAAAGGAACCAGTTAGGAAGTTAATGTAATATTCTAAAAGAAAAGATAATGGTTACATGTGCAAAGGAACAGTATGGAGAAAAATCAACAGATTTAAGAGGTAATTTGAAGTTTAAATGTTTGAAACACTTAAAAATTTGTTAAAAAGGACTCATTATTTTAATAAGAGCATCATTTAAAAATTATAGTTGCATTTGAATAGCTACTGTCTTTGAAAGCTAATAGATATATTCTCTGAATTTTAAATGGTATTTATTATATTCTATCTTGGCACAGTATAAGTTCACAATGAATTATTTTTATTTTCCACCTACAAAGGGAATATTGCTTGGAGTTTTCCATAAGAACTAGTCTAATATTTGCCTTTGGGCCATAAAAAAGATTTTCCATCTTTCTTTCACTATGAAAAATTTAAAAATTTTGTATTGAGTTTAAAATCATAATCAAACATAGAAATTTCCATTTTAATTTATTCATGTCCTCAAAATGTGACTCACTTTACCAACAAAAACCAGTATAGAGAATAAACAATCCAAAGAAATATGCCATTGAACATTTTTACCTTGAGGCTAGAACTGATATATTTAAGAAAATTTACTTTATGCTAAAAAATCATGAGTGGGATTTACATATTACTTAGATCATTAGCCAAAAATATTTTATTTTGCTTGCTTTACCTTTTTGGAACAATTAAGGTGTTTTCTCCAAATAACCTAATCCAATTTTTTTTTTTTTCACATTTTGAAAACCAGTTGTATGTTTCAGATTCTTTATCACAGTGGCAATAGCAAGAGTGGTAAAGAGTGATAAGGTCACTGTGTTAATTTCCTAAGTCTGCTGTAACAAAGTGCCACGAGAGTGACTTGAAACAACAGAAATTTATCATTTTGCAATTCCAGAGGCCAAAATTTCAAAATCAAGGTATTAGTAGGGCTCAGCTCCCTCTGAGACTCTGAACAGAATTCTTCCTGGCCTCTTCCTGGTGGTTTGCTGGCGGCCTTTGCAGTTCCTTGGACTTTTAGGTGCATCACTGCAATTCTTTGTCTTCACATGGCTTTCCTCCTGTGCCTGTCTCTTCAAACGATAACACCGATCATACTGAGTTAGAAACCCACCCTATCCAGTATGAACGCATCCTAACTAATCACGACTTCAATAACCCTGTTTCCACATAAGGTCACATTTTCAGGTACTGGGGGTTAAGATTCAATGTATCTTTTTCTTTTTTTTCCTGAAGGGAGGGAAGCAATTCAACCTGTAGCTGTTACCAAAACCAGTAAAATAAGAGCTTCTGCCACTGTGAAATTACCTAGCAGCAGTTGAATTCGCAATTTTTTACATATATTTTCTTCATTACATGTAGAAAAATAGCTAAATATATAAAAATGTTGTGCATGTGTGTGTGCGTGTGTGTGCATGTGTGTGTGTGTGTGTGTGTTTGTGTGTATGTAGGCATGCCTGCTCACCTGTGTAGACCTATAGTGGATCCCATCGCTGATAACTCATGGGATCAAGGAAAACTGCAAATTTGTCTTACATTTTAATGCTGAGTTCATTGCTTTAATTCAGTCATAGTCACTGGAAAACTTTTTTTAGGGCTGACTATGCATTCCTGAATGAAATATCAACAGATTAGTTTTCATTTTCTTCCACTCTAGCATAGCTTAGTAAAATAAAACAATCTGGATGGATGGCTTCTGTTTCTATATCCTGGATAAGATGGGTTACAAAACACCAAGGTGCTCAACGCTTCGGCTTAGGATAGATTTCTTCCTTACACTTGGGAAGATGCATCATCTGTAGTGAGTCTCGCTACTCTAGACATGTGTTCTAAATAATTCAGTTACTTTCTTCTGAATTTCCTCAGCGACCTAATTTTTTCCACTCAATTCTCCAACAATCATTTTACACCACTCGACCGACATTTAATGCGCATCCACTGTATACCAAGCACAAGGAGACAGAGATGAAATATAAAATCGACACTCGAAGATCTCTCCGGAAATAACTAAGTCACCCACTGCTTTCCTGGGTATTTTTCTTAACTCTTTCTCATTGGATTATGGTGTGTACATGAGCCTGTTAGACAGGGGGGATGAAAATAGCTCAGAGGATGTTAAAGTTATTCTTGGACCCTGTGGTTTGCTTTTGTGACTTGTTTTGTTTTTTATATTCTCTGCTTCAGCTGAAAGAGACATCAGTGTCTACTGTGGGGTCCAGGCCATCACAATGAAGATTAATTTTTGCACAGTTCTTTTCTCCGGGTATTCTGAAGCAGATCTGGCCCTGAACGGAAGGCATGCGGATTCTCACTGCAGGGGCTTCATCAGTAACAACACCTTTCCTGCTGTGGTCATTTTCACCATCAATCTGAGCACCTTGGAGGGCTGTGGAAACAATTTAGCGGTAAGATTAGAGTGAAACTATGTGCTAGGTTTGGGGATCATAGCTAAAAGAAGAACACACACACACAGAAGTCCCCATACCATGAAACAATCAGAAACCCAATCTGTCTTTTAAGAACAAAACCCCAATAAAACTGAACAAACCACTTTCCTTTGCCTGTTTGAGGCTTCAGCCCCCAAACATCTGATTTCATTTTCCAATAGTGGTTCTGTTTATTGCAGCTGGTGGTTGAGGGGCCTGAGATTAACTGTGCTACTCTAGCCAGCATTATTTTGTATGAGTGACATTGAGGAGTATTTCTCTACAGTTTTTCATTAGCTGTGTTCCTCCTGCTTTTTATGGAAGTATCTTTTATATTCCAGTGAGTTTGGCAATGAATCACTTGGCCTGTTATTTCTTAGAGACCTCATTCAGGAAGAAAGATGGAATATTGAATGAGAAACTTAGAATCTTCTAGGTATCCTGTTTACCATTGAACGCTCCACACCACTGTTTTGTAAAAGAGGGCTGTTAGCATTTCCAGCATGAGTTTCTTCATACTGTGGATCTGTCCTTTGAATTAAAAAATGTTTACATACCCAATCTTACCCGTGAAATCCCTGCAACATGCTCCATCCAGTCATTGTGAAAATTAAAACACTACTTCAGATATTTCCACCTTGAGTGAGAACCACTTATCTACACTATTCATTTATTTATTCATGTACTGAATACCAAAAATAGAATTGTAACAGGCATTCACTGTCCTGGGAATTAAAAATTAATTGAAGTAAAAGATAATTGTGATTTTGTGGGGGTGTTAGGCTAAAATTTATTTAAAACAGTTTTTCCTTTTGCTTGTTTAAATATAGTCTTAGTGGTTAAGCCTAGCAAAGACAAAAAGAAGATTTATTGAACATGTCCACTTAGGCCAGTAAAGAAGGAGAGATTGGCCTTTCCTCTTGATTATTCTGAGGGCAGGGCTTTTAAGACTTGGTGGGAGATAGGAGACAGGAAAAAGAGATTTCTTTGAATCTCCTTTATCTTTTCTCAGAGGGCAGTTAGAATATTGTGCCCATGACCGTTTCCAAATATACAGCTTGAGTATTGTTGACTCTTTTTATTAAAAATGTTTGTTCATCTCTCTCGGTTGTGTGCAGAGAGGTTATGAAGTGGGCCTGAGGGAGAGTGAGGGGAAGTGATGCAGGTTGATTATTACACATCCTAGCTTCCTTGTGGAGGGAGGGAGGGAGGGGGAAAGGAAGGGAGAGAGGGAAGTAGGGAAGAAGGGAGGGAGCCCAAGTGGAGCCGCATTGCCCCTCCCCACAAGGACTCTGCTTCAGGGAGCTTCCTGTTCTCCAGTTCAGTCTTATCCTGCTCCCTGCTGCCAAAAAAAGAGAACAGTTCCAGAGAAATGCCAGGCAAAGCACCCGTGTGTGTGTGTGTGTGTGTGTGTGTATGTATGTATCATTTCTTTTTTTTTTTTAAACTGAATAAGTCTGGTATAAAAACTGTAATGTACATGTATGTGTATACACACATATATTTTTTTTTCACAGATAGAATTTGCATGTTTAGCTAGCCAGGCAGGCAGGCAATGTGTAGAGAGGAAGATTTACTTAGTTTATATTTTTGTCTTAGATATCACCAGCCTTGGTATCTGCTCCAAGGACAGTTCTATACGGGAAAAATTAAGTAGACTACTAAATCATATGGATTAGAATCAAAATGTTTTTTCATAAGGATTCTGGTTCTCTTCGTGAATCAGCTAGATAATTGCTTCAGCTTTGCCCACGTGCTCCTAGATCCATGTATAAAGTGTATTCTCTTGTTGAGAATTAAATGTTACAGGTCTCCATAACAGCTGCTAAAATATTAATTGATCATTATATTGTATTTGACATGGGGGGGAGAAGTTCAGCAGTATTATGATGGCCAAGAACATTATTGATGTTAAAATTGTTAGTTCTCCACGAGCCTAGGGAAAGCTATCCTTCCCAGGCCCTTTGCAGCTAGCGCGGGCTTTGTAACAGGTTTAGTCCTGTAGACTCTTACTGAACTTGACATGTGCACAGCCAAAAGCCTCTGCCTGACCTACTAGCTCTGGTGTTTTCTGTCTTAGCAGTACTAGAAGCCACATGCTGAGATGGCAGTGCTACAAGGAAATAGAGCCGGTCTTAGGCAAAAACACTGTGTAAACACTTGGAATGGAACCCCCTTTACCAAACTGCATTGGACATGTAGAATAAACAAAAGATGAACTTTTGTTGTGTTAATATATTGAGATATAGGGGTTGAATCGTTATTGCAATATTACATAGCCTGTGCTGACTCAAATAGTATGTTGCCATGATTAAAAAATCCTCAGAGTTTAATGATCATAGGTCCATATAAAGTTTGTCTCACTGGAGGGCCTGAGTTTTGACAAGTCTACTGCTAGTAATCACTGTTGATAAAAGAAGTATTCAGGTGATGACCCTCTACCTGGTAATTCACAATGAGAACAGAGAGCTTGGGCAATAATAACCTTAGTGCTGAGTCACTCAGTCATGTCCGACTCTTTGCAGCCCTTTGGACTGTAGCCTGCCAGGCTCCCGTGCCCATGGAATTGTCCAGGCGAGAATACTGGAGTGAATTGTCATTTCCTTCTCCAGGGATCTGCCCAACCCAGGTCTCCCGCATTGCAGCTGGATTCTTTACCAGCTGAACCACCAGGGAAGCCCAAGAATACTGGAGTCGATAGCCTATCCCTTCCCCAGGGGATCTTTCTGACCCAGGAATCGAACCAGGGTCTCCTGCATTGCAGGTGGATTCTTTACCATCTGAGCTATGAGGAAGCCCAACTGTGAGCCTAGTGCTTCCCAATATCATGTATGATGTCAACTTCACCCAAACAATATTTCATCAGAAAAACCTTCATCTCGTTATAGACTTGAAAAACATCTATAACTATGGTAACATATTTTAAGGCCTCAAGTTTTGAAAGCCTTCCTTCTTTGACTTATTCTAGATATTTCATATTCGGAATTGCAATTTAAATGTTTGGATTTTATATTAACTTTTTAATTAAGATATTAACATATAATAAAATCAGTGGCAGAGGATGAGATGCTTAGATAGTATCAACAACTCAATGGACATGAATTTGAGCAAACTCCGGGAGACAGTGAAGGACAGGGAAACCTGGTGTGTTGCAGTCCATGGGGTAGCAAAGAGTTGGACATGACTTAGCGACTGAACAACAGCAATAAAATCATTTGTGTTAAGTGTAAAAAAAAATATTGACAATTCCTGAAATGGTGGTTATTAAATTTTAGTGGAATTGGAGAATCCAATGAAAACTAATCAGTCCCAAGAGAATACACACATGGACAATATTTTTATATAAATTCTAGGAGTTCATGATCCCTCTGCAACATCCCTGTGAACTATTGCCCTGAAAGGAGGTGAGAATCTCCATGTACCCTAAGGAGATTGAACATCAGAAAATTTGTGACCTTTATTCATTTGTTTAGAATTTATCTCAAGGGCCCCAGGATGCTGGTGTCACTGAGCTATGCTGAAGGGACAAAGGCAAATAAGACCTAGAGGGTCCCCTGCCTGCAAAGAGCTCTGATTATGGATGGAAGTGTGCTGAGTCAGACCACTCATGCACTGTGACTGCTTCTGTGAGACAGAAAGTATGGGGGAGTTGGGAGAAGTTCCCAAGGAAGATGAGATCCAGGGGAAAAGTAGGATATGTTGTGGTGAAGAGGGCCAGAGAGGAGGCAGGGGTATGCACAAATGCCAGAGCAACAAGGGCCTTGGTGCTGGGGCATTACTAACCAAGAATGAGAGCCTGGAGATATGAAGCTAACATTGAAAACAAGATCATATTAACAGGGGGCTTTTAGTCCAGGCCATGGAATTTGGCTTTCCCCATAAGTATTTTCAAATTACTTGCTCTTGCACAACAAGTAACATATAGTTTCTCTCCTTTCTTATTTATGAAATATGAGTAAACCATCTCTGGTAATATGAGGCTTTATTTATTTAAAAGAAACATATGAGTCAGATAGAGAAAGACCAATATGATACTGCTTATATGTTGAATCTAAAAAAAATGTTACAAATGAACTTTATGTGCAAAACAGAAATAGAGTTACAGATATAGAAAATAAACTTACAGCTACCAAGGGGGAAAGTGGCAAGGGAGGGAAGAATTGGGAGACTGGGATTGACATATGCCTGCTCCTATATATAAGATAGATAACTAATAAGAATCTCCTGCATAGCGCAGGGGACTCCACGCAATACTCTGAAATGATCTACTTGGGAATAATATCTAAAAAAGAGTCAATATATGTATAATTGATTCAATTTGCTGTATCACAGAAGCTAACACACTGTATACTAACGTTGTAAATCAACTATACTTCAATAAAAATTCATTTAAAAAATTAAATCACCCTCTTAATGAGAGGAAAAAAGACATATGATCACTTATAACTAGAATTATGTGTGTATAATATCAAAATTATGTCATGTTATAGTTGCAACAGAACCTGGAAATGATCTGACCTAATGTTTTATTTTGCATATGAAATGCCAGATTTATATGAAACTATTTAATCACTGAGCTTGATCTACAATTCTAACAGGTATCCACAGTTCCTGGAGTCAGTGCTTACGGAAATGCAACTTCAGTACAAATAGGAAATATTTCAGGATATATTGATACTCCAGACCCACCAACAATCATCAGCTATCTACCTGGGCTTCTTTACAAATTTAGCTGTAGTTATCCATTGGAATACCTGGTTAATAATACCCAACTTGCTTCGTAAGTGGCATTTTATTCTTACTTTCTCATGTTGTCTTTTTATTTGGGTCATTTTTATCCTTGAGGAACTTACAGAGATATTAATAGCAGGATTTGTTGAGAAAGTTAGACTGAATCTAATGGAAACTGTATATGGTCTTATGCATCTATCTACTTATCCATCTATAACTGTTATTGTTTTGAAGAACATCAACAGTTCAGTTTTAGTCTTTTCCCTAAATTAAAACCAGCTCACGTTAGTCAAATATCTGCCTTTGGTTCTGCTGGCTCGCTTCGGAACCGCCCAGGAACCCAAGAACCCTGGGGGCTCATGCAGCCCAGAGGGCTGTCCTGTCTCCAGCGCGTAGACCGTTTGGTCACTGTGTTGTTGGGTCCTGCTTGGGTTCAGTCTCTGCGTACGTGCTCACGGTTGGGCTGCTGCCCCAGAAGCTGAGGTCTCCACGCCTCCCGCTGCGGTGTCCCCGCACAGATGCTGATGATTCCCAGCCAAGGTGGTATCACTCGTAGCCAAAGAGCTTCAGACATGGATTCATTGCCTTTTGTTTAGGTGTGCATTCATTGAGGCTTCCAGGTGGCTCAGTGGTAAAGAATCCGCCTGCCAAGCAGGAGATGCAGGCTTAAAATCGCTGGGTCAGGAAGATCCCCTGGAGGAGGATATGGTAATCCTCTCCTGCTGCCACGGGAAATCCCGTGTTCAGAGGAACCTGGCAGACTACAGTCCATGGGATCTCAAAGAGTCGTATCAGACTTAGCGACTACACCACTACCACATCCATTCATTACTCCCAAGGCACACACTCCAAGACGTGTTTACATCCATATTGCAATATAATCGTATGGACTTGTGAAACATTTTTGTCAAAATGGGGTGATTGAATAAAAACTTTCCCTCTTCAGTTGTAGGGTTTTCTCTCACGAAAGTAAAGTTGTTATTTAATCTCGGTCACAAGGGAACATGGAGGACACATTTTGCTTCAGTTTAAAAAATATTCGTAGATAATTTAATGGTACAGTTATGATAAACAACTTGGTCAAAAGCAAGATTTCGATGTGGAAAACAAGAAAAGAAAGGCCTTGACTCAAAAAGAAGCAGGTGCAGAGAGAAATAGGTCATAGTCTTTCACTCTGCTCCCCTCAACTTCCTCACTAAATTCATTTCTGAACTTCAGTGCACGTGGATATGCATTCATTTAAATGGGACTTCCTTGATAGCTCAGTTGGTGAAGAATCTGCCTGCGATGCAGGAGATCCTCAATTCCTAGGAGGGAACAAATGCTGGAGAAGGGAAAAAGCTACCCACTCCAGCATTCCGGCCTGGAGAACTAGTCCATGGGGTAGCAAAGAGTCAGACAGGACTGAACAACTTTCATTTTCGTTGCTGCTTCCCTGATGATTCAGTTGGCAAAGAATTCCCTCCTGCAATGCAGGAGACCCCAGGTCAATTCCTAGGTTGGGAAGATCCCCTGAAGAAGGGAAAAAGCTACCCATTCCAGTATTCTGGCCTGGAGAATTAGTCCATGGGGTCACAAAGAGTCAGACAGAACTGAGCAACTTTCACTTTGGGAGAAGGAAATGGCACCCCACTCCAGTCCTCTTGCCTGGAAAATCCCGTGGATGGAGGAGGCTGGTGGGCTACAGTCCATGGGGTCGCAAAGAGTCGGATAGGACTGAGCGACTTCACTTTCATTTTTTCTTTATTCAGCAAATATTTATTATACACCTAATATGTACCATGCAAAGTTCTAACAGTGAAAAAAGTAAAAAAATTCCTGGTCTCATGAGGCTTATACAGAAATGGAATTGATGAAAATGTATTCGCATTAAATTCAGACTTTATTGGAATAAATTTTTTTTTCCTGCAAGTCTCATATATGTAATAAAAATGTAAAAATAAGATTCCTTTATAAATGAAAAGATCAGAAAGAGGTTTGCCTTTATTTAGTCCCTCTTGCTTTTTGATTATTTATCTATTCAGTGATTTAAACAATATGCCCATTCCAGACCTAGTTATGTCAGGATTGCTCAAGAGTTTTGGTGCCTTGAATCTAACATTAAGGTGTGACTGAAGCTGTTACTTTATTTATTTATTTGTTTGAAGCTGTTACTTTAAACATCTCATCAGTGCCTTCCTTTTCCTCCATCTGTTTTAGGTCCTCAGCTGCCATTTCTGTGAGGGAGAACAATGGTACATTTGTCAGCACTTTGAACCTGCTCCTTTATAATGTAAGTTGATGGTCGAAGGACGTTATTTTTCTCTCTCACTGATCTAAGGAGCCATTTATGTGAATGGCTTTCCTATAAAAATCCACCAAAAGTTACATTAACACTGTTATACTTTGGTAATGTTTATTCATCTTCACCACCATTTCCAAATATCTTAGTGATAAAGGTATGCTAACAACTCCATTATTTTCCAGAAGTTGATAAATGATTTAAATTTTACTTCATATATGTGATTCTGCGTAGTTCCTCCAAATGTCTATCTACATTTATATGTATATATTTATTTATGTGTGTGTATGTGTAAACATTGTCAGGGTCAAGATTTTGGAAATAATATATTTGTGATAAAAAGATAGGAAAAGTCCAAAAGATACTTTATTTGAAGGCAAGATACTTGGTGTTCAATGTGTTAACATTTCCAGTGTGGGTATTGACTGTTGTCAGTTCTGTCATATCTGAAACAGTTTGGGTTTGACTACATAGCATTGTCTAAACTTTTGTCATATAAATATTGACAGTGGCAGCAAAATGTGAAAAATATATGAATTTCTATTTATAACTCTAACATTAATCCCCCAAATGATATTTTCATGTTGATTAAAAATTTTATTCATACATTTAAAATGCCTGATTTAAATATCAATTTTTCAATATATCAACCAACATTTTTGTAAATTATGAATCTGATTTTTACATTATTATTCATGTCATCATGGCACTGAGTTATAATTCATGCAACTGATTTAAAAGCCAGTGCTTTATACTTTGCATATAATGAGCTATAAATATTGTAGTAGAACACTTTCCAAAGGCATTTAAAAAATCATGTTTATAAGTTTGTAGTCTGACACCACAGAGTTCTAAACAACAAATTAAAATGTGTTGGAATGAAGATTGCCTTTCTGTCATTTCTAAACTTTCTTATGCAAGGAGAAGCTGCCAAGATCCTTGGTTTTACAATACTCAGCAAATATGTGCCAATATTCATTCCTAATATGACCAGATATTTATTATTGTTGTAAGCAATATTTTTAAATTGGAAAGTTTCTATCTGTTAATTTATATGTGTAATCTCCCTGAAGTAGAACTGTGATGATTGCCCTGGATTCAATATTATTTGTTACAATTGACTGAAGCAAAGATGAGAATTCCTGTTCTTAAAAGAGTGAAAAATATACTCACATGATATTTAAGGATACCACTATTTTCTGTGAAATTAAGCTATTCTTTCTGTAGAAAAGCAGAAAATAAAAATTTAGAAGTGTGGACTTGAGGAGAGCTTTGCTATTAAGCTCTTTCCTTTATCGTTAGAAATAGTATAGCAGTCCTGTTGCTAAACTAGACCTAATCCTCCAAAGAATTCCTAGAATCTTAGTGACAAATAAAAGCCTATAATTTGATGATAACCTAAGATTTTAATTTGATAGTTAACTGGTAATTATTTGCTATGACTATAAACAAAATACATAGTATCAAAATCATTCTCATTTTTAACCAATTTGCAATGATATTACTAATGGTTGAATTAACACATTGAAATTTGAAATTTGCTTACTAAACAGTTACCTGATAAAACTCAACCACTTCCCTACAAACTCGTTGTTTTTGTTTTGTCTTTTTTTTTTTTAATCAGCAAACTGTTTTTTTAGAGAAGTTTTAGGTTTATAGAAAAATTGATCTAAAAGTACAGAGAATTCCTATAGACCTCCAGGGCCTACATACAGTTTCCTTTATTACTTACACCTTGCATTATGGGGCATGTGGCATATTGCTTATAATTTATGAACCAATATTGATATATTAAGTAATTTTCATAGTTTACATTTAGGTTAATGCTTCATGTTATATATCCTATGGGTTTTGAAAACTGTGCATGACATATGTCCATTATTGTTGTATCATATAGAAGAGTTTCACTGCCTCAAACTAATTTTTTAACTTGGCACCATTGTAGTATTTTGCCATCTTTCAGGACATTAAAAAAACTAGCAATTTATACTGGAAAAAAATTTTTGTTACTGTTCAGTCACTAAGTCATGTCTGACTCTTTGTGACCCCATGGACGGCAGCATGTCAGGGTTCCCTCTCCTTCACTATCTCCCGGAGTTTGCTCAAATTCATGTGCATTGAGTTAGTGATGCCATCCAATTATCATCCTCTGTTGCCCCCTTCTCTTCCTGCCTTCAATCTTTCCCAGCATCAGGGTCTTTTTCAATGACTTGGCTTTTCAAATCAGGTGGCCAAGTATTGGAGCTTCAACTTCAGCAGCAGTCCTTCCAATGAATATTTTGACTTGATTTCCTTTAGGATCGACTGGTTTGATCTTCTTGCTTTCCGAGGGACTCTCAAGAATCTTCTCAAGCATCACTATTTGAAAGCATCAATTCTTTGGTGCTCAGCCTTCTTTCTGGTCCAACTTTCACATCTGTACATGACTTCTGAACAAACTATAGTTTTAACTAAACAGACCTTTGGTATATTTTAATGAATTTATCCAAAACCATATTTATTATTTGTTTGGAACTCTAACACTTAGGTACCCAAATGTGATTTTATTGCAGCATTTCAAACTAAGTATTATGTTACAACCATTCGGGGCCATATTTTCCTATTTTATATGCAAAGGTTTTGATTTCTAACCCTTGGGAATTATGAAAAGTTATATTACATACCTACTACTCTTATTCTGTGGTTAGCTATTTGAAAAGGAAAAGTTGTACTGAATATGGATTCAGTACAATTATTTCTGTGTGTTATGGGATTCACTGAATGTACTTAGGAATATTTTGCTTGTAAAAAATAATGACATTTATTGATTTTGTGATTTCAATATATGCAGTTTACCTCGAGTTGACCTTGGCCTTTATTCTTGCGTAATATAAATAGATTAGTTTTCTTCTCTGTGGCAATTAAGTGAGGATGATTTTGAATTTGAATTGCACCTAGGTAATAGTGTCTTCTGAGCAGATACACAGAGTAAATCTAAAACTGGGATATGGTAATGATGAATTATTTTTAAAGTTGAAGAAGAAATCTAAAATGAATATAATAGATTTTAGGGATAATATTTACTAACAGGAGTAAGTCAACTATACAAAATAAAATCTAAACATTACTGTTTAGAAGAGTTTTAGGAGAAAAAGGTGATAATTAAGATTAAGCCATAGCTGAGTCATATCATTTGGAAATGACTTTGTAATATAATATTTGTAAAAAAATGAAGTAAGATCCTTTGGGACAATACCGATGCAAGTACAAGATGAATGAGCCATAATAGTTAATGAAGTGTGTATAACTTGAAGAAGTTGAAAAAGGGAGCCAGGAAGAGAATTAATTAAAAATACTACCTATGAGAAATGGTAGAGGAGCTGTTATCATTTATCACAGAAATATAGAAAATAAGTACAGCATATAATCCCTCACTTATCAGGCTTTATTTGGGAATGAAATGTTCCACATGAATGCAACTCTTTCAAAAGTGAAGCATCCAAGTTATTATTGTTTTAAGTTTCAAAATTCAGTATCTGTTGTTTCTTCCCAGCCTTCTGAAACAGAGGGAGCTCTGTATTCTGCCTTTGCTTGATGATGTTGAGATTTCATTAAATATTTCCCTTTGCTGCAAAATAGCTTTATCTTCAGAGTTACTAAATTTGGGGGAAACAGTTTGTCTCCATGCTAAATGATTTGACAACTTAGATTTTGAGAAGTTTTTTCTTTATTCTTCATTTTTTTTCCTGCTTTTCTGTACTACCAATTTCTAACTTGCTTCCATAATCTACTGTAGATTGGGGAATTATATAAATTAGCTCTGCAGAATTGGTCTAAACTAAGGGTAAAAGGTAGAAATGAAGTCCTAAGACATCCTTCTATAAGTCCTCACCATGTTATCTAGTACAGGAATTCCATGGCATGCATTTTTGACAACTTGGAGAACATACTGGTCCCTTGTTTGTTTTTGTTTTCAATTAAATTCTGGTAATTTTAAATTGTGAGATAAGGGACTTTGGGTTAATAAGAGATTATTAAAAGTATAAAGAGTTACAGCTCCAGTAGCAAAGGGCTTAAACTGAAGCAGATATAATTTAAATAAACTGAATATTAGCTACTAATATAATTTAAATAAATGAAATATGAATTTAAATAAACTGAATATTAATAGTTGAATATTAGCCAAACTAAATACTAACCTCTTACTAGTAACCATTGCATATAATTTAAATACACTGAACATTCATCATCATAAGTGATAAACTATGGACATGAAAAGATTTATGCATGGAAGTGAGTTTGTTACTTGCATATGCTTTAAGAACAGTTCTGCCAAAAACTAGAGGATTAACTAGGTCCTTTTCAGAGTTGGTTCAGTAAATTTATGTTGATTTGCTCTCTCTTTTTTTTAATAGGACATTATTGTCTTAAGTAAACGTGCTGTTGTTGGGAAGGCAATGATGGATTAATTGCTTATTTTTTTTATTATTAGGATTCGACCTACAATCAGCAGTTAATTATCCCGAGTATAGGACTACCTTTGAAAACCAAAGTATTTGCAGCTGTGCAAGCCACTAATCTGGATGGCAGGTATTTTCAAGCTCCTGTCTTTTTGTTGTTTAAAACATTTTGGCCGCCTAAAGCCTGATGAATCTTAGTAGCTCATTCACTTAAAAAAAATATTGTCATTGCCACACCATTTAGGAATGCCTAATTAATAGGCCTGCCTCTTGAGAAACCTGTATGCAGGTCAGGAAGCAACAGTTAGAACTGGACATGGCACAACAGACTGGTTCCAAATAGGAAAAGGAGTATGTCAAGGCTGTATATTGTCACCCCGCTTATTTAACTTATATGCAGAGTACATCATGTGAAATGCTGGGCTGGAGGAAGCACAAGCTGGACTCAAGATTGCCAGGAGAAATATCAATAACCTCAGATATGCAGATGACACCACCTTTATGGCAGAAAGTGAAGAGGAACTAAAAAGCCTCTTGATGAAAGTGAAAGAGGAGAGTGAAAAAGTTGGTTTAAAGCTCAACATTCAGAAAACTAAGATCATGGCATCCGGTCCCATCACTTCATGGCAAATAGAAGGGGAAACAGTGAAAACAGTGACTGACTTTATTTTTCTGGTCTCCAAAATCACTGAAGATGGTGATTGCAGCCATGAAATTAAAAGACGCTTACTCCTTGGAAGTAAAGTTATGACCAAGCTAGACAGCATATTAAAAAGCAGAGACATCACTTTGTCAACAAAGGTCTGTCTGATCAAGGCTATGGTTTTTCCAGTGGTCATGTGTGGATGTGAGAGTTGGACTATAAAGACAGCTGAGCACAGAAGAATTGATGCGTTTGAACTGTGGTGTTGGAGAAGACTCTTGAGAGTCCCTTGGACTGCAAGGAGATCCAACCAGTCCATCCTAAAGGAGATCAGTCCTGGGTGTTCATTGGAAGGACTGATGTTGAAGTTGAAACTCCAATACTGTGGCCACCTGATGCGAAGAGCTGACTCATTTGAAAAGACCCTGATGCTGGAAAAGATTGAGGGCAGGCGGAGAAGGGGACGACGGAGGATGAGATGGTTGGATGACATCACCGACTCAATCGACATGGGTTTGGGTGGACTCCGGGAGTTGGTGATGGACTGGGAGGCCTGGGGTGCTGCGATTCATGGGGTCGCAAAGAGTCGGACACGACTGAGCGACTGAACTGAACTCAATAAATAGAAATAAACTGCAAGGATGAAAAGGTGATACTTTAAGTCATTAACTGGAAAATAACATTTCTTCCCTTAAAGAAGGAGAGGTAGTGACTGGAAGAGGGCATGGGGAGAGCTCTGGGGCTACCAGAATATTCTGCTTTTTCATCTGAAAGATGCTTAGTCAGATGCAGTAATTTTGTGACCACGTGGCCTGTATATTTTCTATGTGTGTGTTTCCCTGCATGTTCAATTGCTCTTGTCATGTCTGACTCTTTGTGACCCCATGGACTATAGCCCACCAGGCTCCTCTCTTCATGGGATTCTCCAGGAAAGAATACTGGAATGGATTGCCATGCCCTCCTCCAAGGGATCTTCCTGACCCAGGAATCACACCTATGTCTTGTGCATTTTCTGCTTTACAGGTGTATTGTTTATTGCTGAGCCACAGGGGAAGTCCTCCTATGTGTGTGTTAATATTCAATAAATGTTTATTTAAAAAAACAAAAGAACTCTGGCCCACAACTATATAACAATCCCCAGAAACATCTCTGCAAAATAACCAAATTAGTCATTTTTTCTGATTCTTAGAAAATCCAGAATGATCAAAATTGAAAGGAAATTCAAAAAGTAAAGATATATTTCTGCCTTAATAAAAAATTATAACATGTATATGATTTATTTTGGGTTTCTCATATATTATTATTTAAACTTTGCATCCTGAAGAGATTGGTGCTCTTGAGAAATTTGATTCTACTTTGCTTTCTCACTTTTTGTCTTCTTGGCATTTCTGTTCTTGGTTTTAAGTGATACTTGATGTGCGATGGCAATTTGTTGCAGACTTTTAAACACTCTGAGTTTAGGAAAACATTTTATTAAAGAAGAAGTCTCAGGAAATAACTAGTTAAAAAACTATATTCCCTGGAGTAAGATGTTTGTGAATATCTACTTCCTTTGGGTTAATAACTAATATCCAAAGGAGACTCTGACTCTCGATTGTTCTTCCTTTTCCTTGCAGATGGAATGTCTTAATGGATTATTGCTACACGACCCCATCAGGGAACCCAAATGATGATACTCGATATGATCTCTTCCTTAGGTTGGTGTCTAAGCCTTGTATTGATAGCAATAATTAAATTGTAGATAATTCCAATAGAAAACTGAAGACAGATGAATTATAAGGTACTTTTATAGCTTATAAATTTAAAGTTTTACATTCTGAACAAAAATTAAAATATAGTTGGAAGTGTAAAAGTGGAGAACAGTTTTCAACATGAAATGCTGAAAAGGCTATTGTTGGATGAAAGTTACAAGTAAGTTTGGCACATCAAAGATGTTTTATTCATGTTTAGGTCATATGGGAATATTTCATTGTCTTAGGAAAAGCATGGTTAAATTATTGGCAATAAGAGAAAGGCAGTGACTATTTTTATGAAACTAGACTGTCTCTTGGTATGTCAAAAGGAGAGTAAAATTAAAGTAATGGTGTGGATAATTTAGACCCCATAATGCTTTTCTTCATTTATCAGCATTTAAAATGAAAACCTACCACCCCCTTTTTTTTTAATCAGATCCAATAACTTGACTTCATTCCCCAATAGACAGTGATAGAGTGAATGTAATCTACATTTGGGAAAAAGGGACATTGATCATAAAAACATTCAGTCATCCTAGCTCCTTTTCAGCGTTTTTATCTGACAGGAGAACAGACTTGAGAGTCAAGCAACGGCTTCTCATCATGCTTATAAAATGCAGTCGGCTCTGATCACTGCACATTGACACATGATGGGAATAGTATGATGGGAAATCAAAAGAATAAATTTTATTGGTTAAGCAAGGTTAAGGTGCTACTCAAGAGGGTATGATCAAACTGACACTCATCCTATTGCAGGAAGTGTTCATTTGGTTAACATTTTTGGGAAACAATATCCTTAAAAAAAATTCTTAAAAGCTTTCATATCTTTTGATTCTACATTTGTGAATTAGGAAGCATATTCTAAAAGTATTTATCATCTTCTTATCTATCAGTGCTATTTAGAACAGTAAAAATAGGAACCAACTTCATGTTCAGCAGCAAGGAAATGGGTAGGTGAATTATGGAGAACCAGCAAGTTGAGAGCTCACATAGGCATTATAATCATACAAAGATATTTATAAAATAGAAAAAAAGATTGGTTCTATTTTATCTCTTCCTCTTCTGTCTTCTTGATAGTCCTGTCTTTATAAATATGTGGTTCTTTACCATTTAAATGTATTAAAATATGAAATGAAAGAATCAGAATACACAATTGTACAATTGACCTTATTTATGGGACTGCAAGGAGATCCAACCAGTCCATCCTAAAGGAGATCAGTCCTGGGTGTTCCTTGGAAGGACTGATGCTGAAGCTGAAACTCCAGTACTTTGGCCACCTCATGCGAAGAGTTGACTCATTGGAAAAGACCCTGATGCTGGGAGGGACTGGGGGCAGGAGGAGGAGGGGACGACAGAGGATGAGATGGCGGGATGGCATCACCGACTCGATGGGCATGAGTTTGAGTTAACTCCGGGAGTTGGTGATGGACAGGGAGGCCTGGCGTGCTGCAATTCATGGGGTTGCAAAGAGTCAGACACGACTGAGTGACTGAACTGACTGACTGATATATTATAGAAAAGAATGTAAGGAAATATTAATACATCAAAAGATTCACCATGGTTGTAGATGCACAGTGAGATTGTGGATCATTTTGCTTTGATGTTTTTGTTTATCTATAATATATAGAAATTTCACAATTTCTATAATCATTGCATATTATAATTGGAATATGATCGTTAGACTTCTAGTATGACTATGGTTTCAGCTTAGTTCTTCTTTCAGTTTTCTTCTTGGAAACTATAGAGTCTGAAATGGGTCCCCAAATGACATTTTCAGTGAGATTAGGAGGAAAAGAAAACCTAGAAATTACAAAATATTTGTTAGTGTTGATAAAATTAGTTAATAAGATCAAGACATACAGTATAGGAATAGGCTGGGAGGAAGTGGTGTGGGACGAAGTGGCAGGAGAAGTGGGGAAGAAAAGTGAATGCTGAGGGTCCCAGTGCCACAGAACCTAGAAACAGCCCGGAGAAATGCACGCCTACAAGAACAGAGAATCATAAGCTAACTGAAGCGAGAAAAAAGAGGTGAACAAAAAATTCATAAAATACAAGAGAAAGGAGGAAATCTACAAGGAAATGAGAAGGTTATGATACTACCAGATGTTGCAGTTAATAGACACTCTAGAGTTATTAAGAAGTATGATATTATGTGAGGCTAGACACGTAGATAAAAATTTACAATATTCAGTTGAAAATAGATCCAAAGTATGGTAATTTATTAGGTGATAGAGTGTGATGATATGCAAATCAGTGGGATTGACAGAGATTTTTAAAAACAGTGCAGGACAGTAGGTAATCATAAGAAAAATAAAATATGAGATTTGTACTTTGCTTATTATACTGTGATAAACTTTAAATGGATTATTAATTTAAATGTAAAAACTACAGCTTTAAAAATGGTGGGAGAGAAGATGCAAAATATCATTAGAACTTTGGAGTATGGAAAATCATCTTTAGCACACATACAAGAAGCCATAAAATAAAATATTTAAAATTAAATTATATATACAAACATATACACACATATACACACAGGCACACACACAGTGAGGACTGTCCAAAGCCAAACAACAAAGTAAAACAATTTGCAATTTATGTAACAAACAAGGAACCACATTTCTTAAAAACCAAGGATTTAAAGGAAACAGAAAGGAAAGGCCAATAATACAATTAAAATTTGGGCAAAGAACATAAACAAATTTCAGATAAAGAAACACAAATGGCTTTCATATATATGAAAAATGCAGATATTCATTCACACTAACAAAAAGGTGAAATAATATTACATGATGATGGTTTACTGTCCCTGTCAAATAGGGAATAATCCAGAATTGTATGCATATACTTTGTTGATGTAGCTCTGAGGGAAATTAAGTATTTTTATACATTACTGGGGCAGTACAAAATGTGGCAATACTCATATAGAGGGCAATATGGCAAAGTCTGTTGAATGATCCTTACAGACATATTGTGTAGATAACCCAGCACATTTTCCAAATGATGTATTGTGAGGCTGTTCATTACTGCTTTGTAAAATTCAAAAGATTCAAAACAAGCAAGGGTATATACATGGGACACAGGTTGAGTCAACTCCGGCACATGTGCGTGATGAAATAGTATACAACTGTGAGAAAAGATGAAGGAGACTCTATTGATACAGAGAGATCTCTAACTTACATTGTTAAACTTTGAAAAGGCAAGATAGAAAACAGTATAGCGAGTTTGCTGCGATTTGTTTAAGAAGAGGGGAACATGAGAATGTGTGCTCCTGTTTGTCTGCATGTGTCCTGCGAGGCTGCAGTAACATGTGAGGTCACCTCAGGCAGGCTTGTGTGTGACGTGGAAGGGCATGGACAAGGGCAAAGATGCAGAGAGAGATGTTTTATTTTGCATGTTTTATGCTGTTTGGATTTTTCAGCCTCTAAGAGTATGATTCCTCTAAAATTTGGCAGAAATATTGTAATCATAAACTGATTTGTTTAAATTTTATGATCTATGGTCACTCCTACATATATGTTGAATTAGCTTATTTTCTTATTACAAATCTGTAACACGGCACAATTTTGTTAGCTCTTAATGTAATGGACGCTGGGGAAACCCTCTTAATATTGCAGAAATTAATGTACAAGTCATGGTGGGTTGGTACTTTCCAGTATTAATTGTTTTCACTTTCTCTACCACGCAGCTGTGACAAAGATCCTCAAACTACCATCATTGAAAATGGTAGAAGCCAGCGGGGCCGCTTTTCTTTTGAAGTGTTCCGATTTGTGAAACACAAGAATCAGAAAATGTCTACTGTCTTCCTGCACTGTGTTACCAAACTCTGCAGAGCTGATGACTGTCCCTTCCTCATGCCAGTAGGTTTTTGATAACTTTTTTCTGAACTGTTGTATTAATCTAAGCTGAAGGTTATCAAGTGTTAGGAACTTATTTCTACATAGAAAGTGAATATGCATCAGGTCAGATAGTTTGAAGTACAATATTTTTCATTCATTGAGTAAAGATGTATTGAATACCTACTTTGTGCCAAGCATTATACTGGGAATACAGAGATGTGTGCCTGAATTCTGAATTTAATTAGCTTATCTGTTAGGAGCATGAGATAGTCAAGGAATAAAATACGACAAAATGTTATGATGCAAAGGCAGACATATATATGTGCTGTAGCAAAAGGCACTATTCATCATTGTGAGAGAGATGAAACAGAAGATGAGAGACTTGATGGAAGAGATGTGATTTTGGAGACAGAAACAGTCTACACCAAAGGATGGTCAAAGCAGAGACCCAAGAAACAGAGTAATCTGCGAACTTCCAGCCTCAGTAGGGCTATGGAGCGGATCAGAGGATGATGGGAAAACCTGTGGTGGGGGCAGGACTGGCGCTAGAAAGCTTCCCAGGGCCAGGGAATCCCTGGTATTAAAAGTTAAAAACTATACAAGATGTGGATCTGTACTACATATGTGTTAATCACTCAGTCATGTTCCCTCTGCAATCCCATGGGCTGTAGCCCACTAGGCTCCTCTGTCCATAGAGTTCTCCAGGCAAAAATACTGGAGTGAGTAGCCATTTCCCTTTTCAGGGGATCTTCCCGATCCAGGGATTGAAACCTGGGTCTCCAGCACTGCAGGCAGATTCTTTACTGCCTGAGCCGCCGGGGAAGCCCATATAGCTGCCACTGAAACATACACCCATTTACTAGTGAAGAAATAGAATTCTATTTCTGACAGGCCCCCTAGGGTCATACCAATATTAACATGGATTAACTAATGGCAATCCACTCCGGTATTCTTGCCTGGAAGATTCCCTGGGCAGAGGAGCCTGGTGGGCTACAGTCCATAGGGTTGCAGAGTTGGACATGACTAAGTGACTGAGAATACACACACAAATGCAATATTAACCTGAGAAAAATGCAGTCATGTTTTTTGATTTAAAATAGCTTTAATGTCTGTACAGTCAAAGCTATGGTTTTTTTCAGTAGTCATGTATGAATGTGAGAGCTGAGCACTGAAGAGTTGATGCTTTTGAACTGTGGTGCTGGAGAAGACTCTTGGGAGTCCCTTGGACAGCAAGGAGATCCAACTAGTCAATCCTAAAGGAAATCAGTCCTGGCTGTTCATTGGAGGGACTGATGCTGAGGCTGAAGCTCCAATACTTTGGCCACCTGATGCAAAGGGCTGACTCATTAGAAAAGACTGATGCTGGGAAAGATTGAAGGCAGGAGAAGAGGATGACAGAGGATGAGATGGTTGGATGGCATCACCGACTCAATGGGCATGAGTTTGAGCAAGCCCTGGGAGATGGTGAGAGACAGGGAAGCCTTGTGTGCTGCAGTCCATGGGTCACAAAGAGTCAGACATGACTGAGTGACTGAGCAACAAAAAGCTTTAGTGTGTTTATACGTGTGCTCTCCTGCTGCTGCTGCTGCTAAGTCGCTTCAGTCGTGTCCGACTCTGTGCGACCCCAGAGACGGCAGCCCACCAGGCCCCCCCGTCCCTGGGATTCTCCAGGCAAGAACACTGGAGTGGGTTGCTGTTTCCTTCTCCAGTGCATGAAGGCGAAAAGTGAAAGTGAAGTCGCTCAGTTGTGTCCGACTCTTAGCAACCCCATGGACTGCAGCCCACCAGGCTCCTCCGTCCATGGGATTTTCCAGGCAAGAGTACTGCAGAAGGTTGCCATTTCCTTCTCCGATATGTGCGCTCAAATCCATGTATTTCTTTACAATCACTGATTATATTCATTCTGTATCAGGTGGGGTTAAATGAAGAGTCTGCATTTCCTTGGCTCTGTGCTGACCAATTTTTCAGGGAAAAGTTTATTAAAGGCTTGAGAGAAATAAAAGTAGAAAAGTTTGATAAACACATCTCTTTTTCAGGAGAGCTGTTGAGCTATTTAAATTAATGAGGTGATGCACAATTACATCAGAAGGAAATAAGAAATGTGGCCCAAGTCAGGATGAGAAACACTGTAGCGGTTATATGCAAAGTAATTAAACGCACAGAAGTAAATGAATAAAATTAAACATGTGGTATCTCTTCTAAAAGGATCTGCTTTCCAAATGGTCATAAAGAAACACTTCTGTGCCAGTGTGGAATTTCACTTATTTTCATTAACTCCTTAGGCTTGTGGCCACAGAGAAAGGCGAGACGTGGGGAGGAGGACCACTCTGAGTCCCCGGAGTACTTCTGGAAATGCCGTTCTGTCTGCGGGTCCCATCATTACTCGGAGTGGTAAGAGTGCGCCTCCTTTTGTGTGTAGTAATAGATGGTTCCAGAATGGCTTGTTCTTTGGCTTATAACCATGACTCAAAATAGTTCCTAAACAGTATTAATTAACTGTGAGACAAGATACATTTCTAGACAACTGTAATTTCATGGTAGTTTCCTCTTTATTCAACTTACAAAGGACAGTATTGTTTTTTTTACCACATTTCCCTTCACACAGACACACACGCGCGCGCGCACACACACACACACATTAGGCTGCTGGACAGGTTTCATTTGCCCATCCGGATCTACTCTGCCCCTCTCTGACCTAAAACACCCATCTCTGTGAGCTGCATCCACTGGATGGATGTCTCGCCAAGTATAGTTTCTGGTTGGGCTAGACCAATAGGCGGCGCTGTCGGAGGATGGGTGTCAGGCTCACATGGCTCCCATCGCAAACAGTCTCCGCTCAGCCACTCTCTCAGAGTTCTGGAATCCCTCCCTTTAACCCGCAGCCCTGGTAACTTGACTTTCTCTTGTGAATTCCCTCCATCTTTATAAAGTGAGTGAAGTGAAAATCGCTCAGTCGTGTCCTACTCTTTGCAACCCCATGGACTGTCCACGGAATTTTCTGGGTCAGAAGACTGGAGTGGGTAGCCTTTCCCTTCTCCAGGGGATCTTCCCAGCCCAGGAATCAAACCAGGGTCTGCCGCATTGCGGGCGGATTCTTTACCAACTGAGCTATCAGCGAAGCCCCCATCTTTATAAACCATCCTATTAAATCTCCTTAAATTACCAGTTTGAATACCAGTTGCTTCCTTCCAGGATCCTGAATAGTAATAGTTTGTAAATATCGGTACCAGTACACACATTTGTGCCCTTTTCTCTAATGGCCACAGTTGTTTATGCAATATATTCTCATATACACAAATATCTGTGCATGCGTGTCCATACACATACACATCTACTCACACGCACTCTCCAAAGGGATACTGCTTTTATCAGTGTGAACCCAGAGACATCCAGAATTAGTTGGATCAGGAGTCCCCAACCTCTGGGATCTAATGCCTGATGTAGATCTGAGGTAAAGCTGATAGAATAATAATAAAAATAACGTACACAATAAATGTATTTCTCCTGACTCATGCAGAAACCATGCTCCTACCCCAGCCATGGTCCATGGAAAAATTGTCTTCAACGAAACTGGTCCTTGGTGCCAAAAGTCTGGGGACTGCTGAGTTGGCTAAAACAGACATGCATTATAAACAACACACACTGAAGTCTGAACAACTGGTTCTAGTTCAGCTTATGCCGTAATAAGATGTAGGACTTGGCATTTTACTTCATTTCTCTGGGCAAATGTTTCTTTATTTCTTTATTTTTAAAGTAAAAGGTTTGAAAAAGTAGACTTTCAGATTCTAATGCTATTGTTCTAAATTTGTCTAAAAACAAAAATGGAGTTCTGATTTGGATTATATGGTAATCATTTTTCCCTATTTTACATTAGGCATAGGCTATTATTATGTTTCAATTAGATTATCTTTACCTTTTCTCCCATACCTCCTATCCCACAGTGAAAAGAAAGTTTCATCTGAAAGAGATAATTAGGCAAAAAGTCATTTGATTCTGAAAAATCCAGATAATTCTTTCATTATTTACTTCTTTGTGTTTGTGTAGACATATTAGTAATAAAAAAACTAATAAGCCATTTTAAATGCATAAATTTATTAGATATAAAATTTCAAACTTAGTTCATCCTCCTTGATAATTTGGAATATTTTGAATGGTTTGAAAATGACTGGTTTGTGGTTTGTCAGAGGTCCAATTCTTATCTCTAGCTGTCAGAAATAGCTCATAGAATTATACTGCATGGAAACTCAGTTCTTATTGCCAATAATTATGAATGAGTAGGCACAGTGAAAAATATTCTTACTTCCATAGAGCATTTCAGTTTGTTGTAAGAAAAGAACCTTGAAAGTCACATCTCTCTGTGCATGTTGAGATGTAGGAAAGTGGAGGACTTTCCTCCTTACTAACCTCCTTGCTTCTTTCTTACATGGATCAAATCAAACTACCTATAACAAATTTTAAATAATTTGCAATTATAATATAGGGCTTCTCTGGTGGCTCAGTGGTAAAAAATTCTCCTGCAATGCAGGAGACCCAGTTTCAGTCCCTGTCAACCTGTTTCAGTATTCTTGATTGGAGAATCTCATGGACAGAGAAGCCTGGCAGACTATAGTCCATAGGGTCTCAAAGAGTTGGACATGACTAAGTGACTAACACTTTCACTTTCAGTATAATATGATTTTAAAAACAGACCAAAATTATTTAGATATCCAAATCCCAGTAGCAGTTTCTTTTTTTTTTTTTTTTATCTTTGAGAATGTCTTTAATTATGTACTTTATTTTTATTTTTTATTTATTTATTTATTTATATATATATATATTTTTATCACAACCATAGTGTATCTTTTTTTTTTTTTTTTTTACATGTATTCCCCATCCCGGTCCCCCCTCCCACCTCCCTCTCCACCCAATCCCTCTGGGTCTTCCCAGTGCACCAGGCCCGAGCACTTGTCTCATGCACCCAACCTGGGCTGGTGAACTGTTTCACCCAAGATAATATACGTGTTTCAATGCTGTTCTCTTGAAACATCCCACCCTCGCCTTCTCCCAGAGTCCACAAGTCTGTTCTATACATAGGTAAGCCAGAAAGATAAAGACCATTACAGTATACTAACACATATATATGGAATTTAGAAAGATGGTAACAATAACCCTATGTGCAAAACAGAAAAAGAGACTCCTATGTATAGACCAGTAGCAGTTTCTATTCCTGCTGTAGCTAACCAGCTATCCAGGCTTATAAGTTTCATCTATATCATGTCTAGTCATCCAAAATATCTATGGTAAAACCTCAAAGAACTAATGCTTTTGATAACAGTACCTCTAATGTCATGCCTGAATTTCTTCCTTTCCAACTGAGACTTGTTTCCACCTCAGAGATGACATTTATTTCCCAAAGCACTAAGGTTGTCTCTTAGTCACCTGGTCTCTCCACTGGTACAGCCCCACGGATCATGTTTAAACTTCATTTCTCTCTCACTGTCTGTGGATTTATTTCTCATGATTTTGATAAATAACAGTAGGATGGTCTTTATTTGGATATCACGGTGGCCTCACTACCTAGAGGACCATGTGTAATAATGTTTTCGCTATAATACTATAATATCCTTACAATTAAAAACAATTAATTCCATGTAAACACAACTCTGGAGAAGGAAATGGCAACCTACTCTAGTATTCTTGCCTGAAAAATCCTATGGATAGAGGAGCCTGGTGGGCTACTGCACATGAGGTTGGAAGAGAGTCAGACATGACTTAGCAACTAAACAACAAACACGACTCAGAAATCGAGCCATATCCGTTCACAGGCAAATTCTATATAAATTAAATGTCCAGTTTAATGACAAGGGCTAACTTATTCCCTTAGTTTCACTTTATTTTTACCTTAGTTCAGCTAGAATCTCTCTGTAGATCCTGTGGCTGATTTTCAAAAACAAGTCTAATTTCAGGCATGACTTCCTCACTTCAGAGTTCTCTGATACTTGGAATTTTTGCTCTGTTTACTCACTGAACCACCCCTTCCCGAAGACATCTGGCTTGGGTCAAGTTTAAAGAGCTGTTAAACCTCAGTACTTCCATCATGTTTTTATTTTAATGAAATCAAGTTCATTCTGGTTATTTTTTTACCCAATATTGTTTATCTTTTGTTAGCTGATTTAGAAAAATATATACATCCTCAGAATTCAAAATCCTCAAAGTTCATGAAATGTTCTTATTTTAGGCTCTGAAAGGCTATAATTATTTGGTAGGGAAATGCTTATCATGGGGCACAATTCTGGAAATTTAAAGGTATAATTACTGAAAAACAATAGTGCCTACTTTTTTTTTTAATATAGATTCCTGTGGAGAAGTCCAAGCCAAACTCTTGTTAAACTAGTGTCATTGAGTTTCATGGATAGGGAATAATTCACTCTGGCCTATTTATTTAGTCCCTGCATGGACAGCAACTGTTCTAGGAACTGGAAATAAAGCAGAGAAGAGGTGACAGTTTTTGCCCTTGGGGATCTTAGAATTCAAAGGTAGACATGAAATGGCTACTCCACGACACAGTGGAGAGTAAAAACTTCCAAGGTTCTCCACTTGAAATATGTGGTTCATTTTACCACATAGGTAATTGAAGACTTAAAAAAAAATAGTTTGCTTGTGCTAAGAAAGGAGAATATTGATTCTGTTATATCTTTGTGTGGATGTTCACGTTTTCCGTTTATTTCAGCTACTTATCTGAGAGAGAAGCAGAGAATGACAATCTATCTGCCACATCTGGCTTTTAAGCAGCTGTGGTATTGCCACTACCACTTTCCTGCTATGAGTCCTCAGCTAGCTATATGCTTTTTGAAGATCTCACCAGGTTTAGACTTCCAATCTGGTCAAATTTCATAAGATGACTTTTAGTGTAGATGTGTGCAAGACCAAGTTGGTGTGAGAAAAAAAACTGAAGTGTGTGGTGATAGAAAGTTCCTGGAAAATCACTACCACCTCTTTCTAGACAGAGCTTTGATTTTTCTTTTAATTGCAATGATCCTAACATTGCAGGACGCCAGGAAACAGCAGATAACAGATAACCTTATTCTCTCTAACCTTATTTAGTTATCAAGTACAATTGCAAACGATATCCAAATATTACGCATTCTGATTTTAGCCATCTGCCAAAGGTAGGATGCTTTCAGATTTTCAGAGTCCTGGAGCCTGCAGCTGATGTAGCTCATTTGGCACTTTTGTCCCCACATGGAGATTTTGTCCGCATCCAAGTCCTTGTGGGTTACAGCTGGAATGTTGTTCTTACAAAAGTGCTGGTAGTAACGTAAAAGAGGAGGGGATATTCTGATTTCTTCTGTTAATCTGAAAGTGCAGAAAATAGGTCATTACATTCATGGAACTTTTGCTTAATTTGAGATATATAGGAGGAAGCTTTTTACTCTTTAATAGAAACCTTTTTTTAAAGAGTAAATAAATGTAATTCCTAAACAAAGAATAACTTTTAGAAAGGAATTTTAGAGCATTAGATATTCTCTTCCATATCCTCGTGAGGCATCTTGTTTTGGGAAAGGGGCACACAGATCTTTTGGATCAATTAATCACAGTGTGCACATTCTATCTGTTTCCATGAGAAGCAGTTGTCCTTGTAGGACAGTGTTAGTTGGAGGTTAGGATTTTGCTAAACATGTCTTATAATGAAAACTGGTAATTTTTTTCTTTTTGTCCCAGCAATGCATTACACCATTCTAAAGAATAGTATGAATGAATGCTCTATTTATTTAGGACATTGTACTTCAGGATCAAACAGCAGAACCATCATTTCTGCCAACACTCATATGTTTGAAAAGAAATGCCATCAGCTATTCTATAAACATCTCACAAGCTTCTCCCATCAATTGTTTCAAATATTAATCCTGGAGTTTTGTCGCTTGAGATATTTATCCTTTTTTACTAAAAACATTTTTCACACTTGCTAGTTTATATTATTTTAGGAAAAGGACTCTGAAACTGAGCTTTTATTTAAGCATATGTTTACTTTATTATAAAGGCTGTGACAGATGGAAATTTCTTCATCTGTAAAATGGGAGTAGCAATAATATCTAAACCATATGGCAATTATGAAAATTAAATGTGATAACATATGAGATGGCATTTTGTATACTGTGTGGCATTACACACATATTAATTGTAATAATATTTATATTCCAGAAGCACTAGCCAACTGCACACATTTTGTGATTCAAATAGTATAGACACACATATACACCCACGTGTTTAAACACAAATATAAAATCCACTTGTTGTATAAGTTCAAGGGTTAATTGCTATATGATTAAAAAGTGGGTAACAAAAACTGGGAAACCAAATGAATGTGTTCACTGCATCTGTTATGTTTGTCAGGGAAAAGTGAAGAACCAACAGCTTCAGTCTCTTACTTAACAAATGCAAATAATTACAACTCAAGCTCAAGAGTCATGTTTTCCCTCCATTTAGTTATTAAGTATGAATTTATCTTTTTGGAACTTGATGCTTTTTGCAGAATATGATGAAAAAATTGGCATCACTTAAAATAGAGTGATATTCACTAAATAATGAATATTTCTCTATAAAAGAATAATAAATAGCAGGTTATACAGCTCTAAAAAATTGTTAATAGTAGCTGTTAACAATTACTGCCCCCACTAACCTGACTGGAGATATAATGATAAAGTGAAGTCAGCAGGAAAGAATTTAGTGTAGTAGGTTTTACGATTTTATTTGTACACCCAGAGCAGTGTCAGAGTGTAGATATGGAGGAATGGATAGATGAAGAAATCTTGGACATGTGGAACAGGAAATGAGAAAGCAGACAGTCTAGGAGACTTTCATTATTGCCTTTCCCAAAGAGCTTGTGGGTGAAGGTGAGGGGACATATAGGTAAAAAGCAATTACAGAATTAGACATTGGCAAATATTTGGAGACACAATATTACTTTTGTTTCTCTTTTCTTACCCTCAGATGAGACACCAACCAACAATTCACAGCTTGGTAAGATAATTAACATATGTTGAAAGTGAAAGTATAATTTTTAAAAAATGTTAAGTATTTTTTGGTAATTAGTTGCAAAGCTGTCATCAACTAAATATAATGAGCTCTGGTTTTACAAGTTTATTGCATTTTAAATAACAGTTCACTGAGAATTTCTGAACTCATATGCAATCTGTTGGTCAATTTTTATAGCATATTATAAATGAAATTTTTGGCTACTCAGGGGATACCAGGCCTCTAAATTGTACAATGCTTTGGGCTTCCCTGGTAGCTCAGATCATAAAGAATCTGCCTGCAGTGCAGGAGACCAGGTTCAATCCCTAGGTCAGGAAGATCCCCTGGAGAAGGGAATGGCTACCCAATCCATTATTCTTACCTGGAGAATTTCATGGACAGAGAAGCCTGGCCGACCTACAGGTCATGGAGTCGCAAAGAGTTGGACATGACTGAATGACTGACAGTTTTGGGTAATGAATTGAAGTCAAATAAATTGTAGCATAATCTGATGCTATTATTCTACAAGATACTGCAGACAGATGCTTTGCAGGCATAAATTGGGATAAGTTAAGATAAATCTGATGTTGGATCTTCCCACTGAGTGTGTTTATTACTTGCAGGTTCTGCACATGAACCTCATTTTCAGCTGAATGCTGTCACCAGTGCCCTGATATCAGGAGTGGTCATTCTGGGAGTCATGAGCTTTTCCCTGCTTCTGTGCTCACTGGCCCTGTTACACAGGAGGGCGCCCGCCAGCTTGGTGTTGAATGGCATACGAAACCCAGTCTTTGACTGACTCTCACAGGCCCCTGCTCTCCAGAGAGGGTTTCACTGACGCTACAGTGTGTGACTGCAGTTGAATGCCAGCCAGCATTTGGTATTTGCAGGCTGGATAGATTTCAGTGTAGCTTGTTAGCATTAACAATAGTGAGAGAATTTTGATAATATTGTATGGCAATATTTGTATGGCACCTCTGGGTATACTGACAATAAGCAATCAACATTCAGGATTTAGATCTTACAAGATCTGCCATTATTTCAGTTCATTTCAATTTTCTTTTCACTATCGGTTTTGGAGGGAAAAGGTGGCCATAGAAAAAAATATTTGTTGCATTTTACCCCCTAAGTATTAAAAACCATTGTGATGGCACTTAGATTTGCATATATAGTCCTGAAATGAAAGTTGTTTTTTGTTTATTCAGATAACTGCAGCTTGGGGATAGGTTTTAATTGGATGAGCCAGTTTGGACACCTGAGATTTAATTTCTCATTCTATGACCTCCTACGTTTTTGGGTGATTTCCATGTCTGAAAACTACATGAAAAAACCAAAAAATAAAAACTTGGGTAATATATCCTAACCTGGAGGGAGCATCCATTTGTGCAACAAACAGTAAAAGTAGTTGTTAGCCTCTAAAGGATGCTAAGTGGCACTTGATCATCATTCATCTGGTGGAAGAAGCTGTGATCAGTTTTCTCCTGGTTCAAGCGAGCACATCAGCACGTGTTCACTCTGCTTCCAGGTAAACCCCCTAGCTGCTGCTGCAGTTCTGCAATAACTGCAGGCTGTTCTCAATTCAGGAACCATCATGTGGGAAGACAAACAGTGATTGTGGGAGAGGACATTGTCCCCACACACAAGCATAGTGTTCCTAGGCAGGTTTTTAACCACCTAGGTTCCTTTCTTTCCCTAGAACAAAGAGGAAACAGGTTACATGTGTTTTGCAGAACTTTGTTGGGATCTCCATGGGGGGAAAAATGTTTCTTTTCTAGTCTGGAGGAGGCCTACTTTTTCAGAAATAGTGTTTTCCTCTAATAGTAAACTACCAGAAGCAGTTTACTTTTTATCAGTTTTGGAAAAGTTTTAAAAAGCCAAATTTTAAACCTATATTCTTACAGAAAAAAAATCAACCTTTCCTTTGTCTAATTTATTCATGCAGCGGAGCAAATAAAACAACTCAATGATAAACAGCAAAACCTAGCATGTGCAGCTACTAAAAGTGCTGTTTATAATGGTAAAAACTGCTGTAGAGACTAGTTGCTATTTAACATTCGTGACCCATTATTCAGGACTCAATTTTACCAAACAAGTTTGTGATGCAAAGCACTATGCATCTGTTTCAAATGCATCTGTTTCAAACTAGATCTGGTTCAAATGAAGTGCCTGTGCACTGAAGTTAATAGTTAAATTAGTTATCAAATTAAAAAAAAAACAACACTTTTTCTCCAATTTTCCTGAACTGTTCAGAAAAAAGTATTTGTATTACCCTAATTAGATGTAGAGTAATAACCACCTCAACTTTCTCTTTCAAGGAATAGACACAATCAGAGGGAAGTGGGATCTATAAAGTCTCTGGGCAATTTCTTCAGTATAACAAAGTCTAAGACTTAAAAAGCCAATCTCCTCTTCCTCATGTTACTTCAAAATAACTTCAAAATGATTGAAGTAACCAGTCTGAACTTTGTCTGTATTAGCAGTTTATTTACTAACATAAAGGGAAAAATCTTACAAAAAAGCATGAGCCATGCTATTTATATGACCCTCCATGTACATGGATAGCATTGGAATATTCTGGTAAATCTGTTTCAGATACTGTAAGTGACTTGCCATTGATCTAAGTATTAAATCCCATGAATAGGACATTATGTTATTGAAACTGGTTTGTCAGTTTGGTTTTTGTGCTTTGGGGATCACTACCATTTCAGTGGTTAACCTTTTAAATTCTAGACTGTTCTCTAAAACAGAATAATGGGCATATCACTTTGCAAGCAACTTAAATTACATATTATTTTTTCCACCTTTAATGTTATGAATGTGTGGTCCAAAGCTATAATGAGACAAACCAGTTTGCTTTAAATAGCTTTATTCTTATAAACCTGCAGTTATATGTAGCATTTAGTTATACTGAATATTCCAGTTATTATAGTGTGAAAACCTTACAAAATATGTGCAAATATTCCTTCAGTTTTAATACCTCAAACTGTTTTTTGCACTTCAGGGGTAAGGTGTGATGACATGTAAAAGATGATTGTTTAATAAAATAATTGTAAATGGATATCTTTTAAAAAGTGACTCTTTTGTTGGTTTTTTTTTTAAGATATACTTCTTATGTTGTTTTTAAGGTATAATGGAAATACATTGTGTCTACTCTCAACATTCTATTCCTACTGTTACAAACTTTAAGAAAGATGGAACTTGAAATAAGCTGCCTAATGCACCTGGGAAGGGCAGTAGCTGTAGGCGAGATGAAGCCTGCCTCTCCACCCTGTTTCAGCAGCCCTGTGCTGGGAGCATATTCATGAGATCAGCCGAGGGTAAAGAAATACTTTACCGTGAGTTTGAGCTCTGATTAAAACTGAGCCTATGATTTTTTTTTTTTAAATTCTGAGGGGAAAGTAAAAACTGGAAAGACAGGAACTCAGCTTCAGCCCAGAGTTGCATAGTCTCTCATGACAGTTCTGTCAGGGTCTGGCTGTCATTCCTTGTTTTGGAATATGACATAGCACTGAGGAGAAATCCTTTTCCTCACTTAGGGAGAATCCAGTCTTACAGAAGTGAGTTTCTCTGGGTCCTCAAGTATTGGCAGTTAGCTTTGGGAGCAGCACAGACATCATGGTCCATGAAGCAGCATTATTCCCTCTGGAGAATGTGAGGCAGAGAATTTCTAGAAGGTGGAAAAGAGCAGGAGAGAAGTATATGGGAGACATTTGTTTGCAGACACACAGGAGGCGTAATCTGAAGGATCCTCCGAGCACTTGGTAGGAGAGGGCTGTAACGGTGGAGAGCCTTCTGCAGGGCAATGGGGGCTATTAGGCTGGCACACATTTGCTTTCATTTTATATTTATAAGGGAAACAGCAAGCTGACCATAGATCAATTGCTTTCGAAAATGAAGTTCCTCAATTATTTATGAGTGGGGAGGCATTTAGTACAAAGCAATCCAAATCTGTAATTTAAAAAAATATATACTTGGGTAGTAAACAAAACAAATACCAGGGTTAGTGGGTGTTTTAGGGTTCTCTAGAGGAAAAGAACTAATAGGATGTATGTATATAGAGAGATTTCTTTTAAGGAATTGGCTTTCATTATTATGGAGGCTGACAAGTCCCAAGATTACCAAGGGCAGGATGGGACCCAGGCAAGCTGATGATGTGTTTCCAGTCTGAAAGGCAACAGGCTTAAGCCCGCAGAAGAGCTCTTGTTTCAGTTCTAAAGGAAAGACTAAACCAGTGTCCCAGTGAGAAAGGCCATCAGGCCTTCCTGGGCCTTTCAGGGAGGAATTTCTCCTAGTCATGGGAGAGATAGACTTTTTGTTCTATACTGATTTTCAACTGAATAGAAAATCACTGTAGTGATTTCCAACTGAATAGATGGGGTCCAACTCACATTAGGGAGGGCAGTCTGCTTTACTTGTGTATTGAAATATTAGGTCTCATCCAGAAACATCCTACAGACACACCCAGGGTAATGTTTGACCAAATGTCTGGGCAAGCTGTAGCCCAGTCAAATTGATACAAAATGAACCATCACAGCTGGTAAGGTTGCAAACACAACATCAATATGTGTCACACCACTAAAAGAGAGCAGGTCCTAATGTTCTGTTTTTAGGCAGAACTAAGGAAATGAATAAATACAAATATCACACAATTTGATAATCTCCACAATTATTTTGAAATATTTAATGTCTTGAGGTAGGGGCTTGTGAGCAGGGGGTCCTCTTTCGCCTTAGCTAAAAATACAGATCAAATAGAGAAAAAACAGGGCCATGAGTTGGTGGGCAGTAATGTGCTTGAAAATTATGGTGAATTATCTACCCCCCGCCGCCCCCCGCCCCCCCCCCCTATCAGGTGAAACAGCAGAAGCCTTGGCATCAAAGTACTGATTGGATCTACATCCTGCAGGCTTGGTATTGAGGGTGCTGGTAGCCAAGGAGGTGACTGAGTGAAGTCATCAGCAGTGACAGCAGGCCAGAAGCACTACACAATATAAAACAGCAAAGCAGAAATAAGAGCAAATGCAGCAAGCAAACTGCTGAAACCTGGGAAGAGAGGCAGCTTCTCAGAGGGTATGAGTTCACTAAAAGTGAAAATGTTAGTTGCTCAGTCGTGTCCCACTTTTTGGGACCCATAAACTGTAGCCCACCAAGCTCCTCTGTCCATGGAATTCTCCAGGCAAGAATACTGGAGTGGGTAGCCATTCCTTTCTCCAGGGGATCTTCCTGACCCAGGGATTGAACCTGGATCTCCTGCATTGCAGGCAAACTCTTTACCATCTGAACCACTAGGGAAGCCCATGAGTTTGCTGGTAGAAGACAAAAACCAAATCTCCGGGAATTGTTACCTACGCTCCTCACGATAGTGACTTGTCTCCTCCAGAGGCTCAAAGGAAGTAGAAACTTGTAGAAATTATACTTTCATGTTTCTGAGAACACCTTGCCTGATAGCTTATAAAAAGCACTGTCTCCACAAATTTGAATAACACAGGAGAACTAACATAGCCTTGATTAATACCACTTTTTGCTTAGATAGAAAAGAGAGAATTCATTTTGGGTTCTAGACATAATATTTGGAAATCTCTGTTCAATAAACTTCACTTTAAAAGTGCTTTGTATTCTTGGAGAAGTGAAATTGAGAATTCAGATTGCTTTCTGCACAGTTCAAACCTCCAGTTTCCTTTTGACCTGAGTATCTGGCTATTTTTTGGTTTACTTAAATTGACAACATAATTACATCTATTTTCTCTTCCATTTTCCATGTTGAAAAGAGAAGTGACATCATTATATGGAAGTTTAGTCAAA